CCTTAAATAACAACAGCAGCAACGTATAGCTGCGTAATAATAACCAAAACAACAACAATAATCAAATAATAATAACAAGAAACATAATCATCAAACTATTAATGCGCAGGACGTTCGCTACGCCTGTCAAACAGCAGCAATGTCAAAAGTCGAAGAGTGAAAAGGTCTGAAAGTCGCTTATTATTGTGCCACCAAAGTTGTTTGAAAGCATTTTTTTTTTCAGAGGGAATACAGAAATAATTATAATCGTTATAGAAATAAAATTTGAATACATACATACAAACGAAAGCCTCAACATAACTGGTTTTCAAATCCGAGATTTAGTGTTGAAGAGGAAAAGAGAGCAAACTGTGTTCTCTGCATAGCTTTTGACATATTTTTGGTTAGTGAAAGATTTTTCATACGTACAAGTATATTAGGTTTTAGTTGTAGTTATGTGCCCCTTATATTATATATCAGTAGCAGTTTCCACTTGAGTTTATATCTAGCTGGTTAGATGGGTTTCATCGAGCAAAAAACGCCCTATTTTCAAAAATTTGTTTTTGCATATAAAAAAGAAATATTTTATTTAAACTTTTTATTATTCCGAAGATATATATTTTTGAAAGATTTTGTGAAATTTTCAGAGAAAATATTTAAAACTCGGTAATAACGACGTCATTTCGGGTAGTCCCTCAGAAAAAAGGTGCTTCCCCGTTTCCACAGTTTCGAGAAAAACGCGTTTAGAAATTTTAGGTGACTATGTAGTTGACCTCGAGCTGTCAACTTTTCTAGACTGTATCTCCAAAACTATTACTGGGATCAACTTGAGAATTTAGGACAATATTCTAGAGATGTTATATAATTAAATAAGATAAAAAATTATACTACTTCATCTTATCAAAAATATTAATTTTTGAGTTGAAAAAATTTCGGGATCCCGAAAATATTATTATTGCATCCCGAAATTTCGGGACTAACTAATTAGCACTGTATCGTAAGTCACCGAACATATAAGTTTACAACTAAGTACATATGTACATTTTCATAACAGTACATTATCTCTCTGTCAGTAAGTAAATACTTATAAATATAGTTAAACAACTTTGTCAGGTTCGTAATGGTCAAAAGAAAAAGGAAAACTTTTTTCTATAAATTGGTATTTTTTTGGCGGTAGTGAAAAGTTATTGGCGCATGTTTTGAACCCAACCACTGAAAGGGCTAATGCTACTTTTATACATTGTTGTTCTTGCTGCCATAATGCCACTGCTGTAGGTACCTGTTGTTAACGCTGACGAACGCGCGCGCACAGTTGATGTTGATGGACATTAATCATTCTATAGTTGAACAATGGCCGAAAATGCTAACGGAGTCTTCTGCGCGCATTTGTTTTTGTAATTTTGAATTTTTGTTAGTTTGTTTTTTAGTTTTTGAATTATTTGCCTAATGCCATCAGCACGAGAAACTGGCAAATATGCAGACAACACGTCAGACCCGGTGTCTTTTCTTACCGCCTTCTTATGTTTTCATTGCTTTCAACTACTGTTTAATGCTCGGAACCCGAACTTGCATGCCATTAGCGTGTTTGTGGTAATTGAGGCCGATCGGCGATGAGCATGTTTCGGTGAAAATTACTAATGCGTGGGTAGATAAATATACAAATACTATGTACTCGTATTTAAGTACATACAATAGATGTATGTGTAAATAGCTGTGCCTTTTGAGAGAGCAGATTGACTTTTAGTAGAAATGAATTACTGCTGGCTAATATGCACATACATATGGTATTCACACACATATGTCTATATATGTATATAATAGGGTGGGTCAAAAATATATATTCTTTCGATTAAGTTAAGCGTTTACGAGATATTCATCGTCAAACATCAATGGATATCAAAGGAAATTTAAAAAAAAAGAGATAATTTTTATAGAGCAATAAATTTCTTATAAGATTATGAGCTTTGCACTTGAAAATAATGTATTTTCATTGTCTTATAAAATTTAAAAGAAAAAAAAACAAATTTGTCTTAAAATACTCAAACTTCAAACGTTAATATATTTTGAACGTTAGGCTTACGAAAAAACCGTAATAGGCCATTTTGTAGAGCGTTCGATTTTTCACAAAATCCACAACACAACAAAATCAAAAAAAAATGAAATATGTTTTCAAGTAGTTGGAAGTGAGATATGAATGTTTCTATCTCATAATATGAAAAAAATAGAAAACTGTTAGTCGGAGGATTTTCCCGTTACAATTAACAGCTCATACTTGGTGAGCCTTTATTAGAGTTGTCTATAAACCAATTTTTCAGAGTACCAAGCGAAACAAAAAGCTTTGATTTTTTTGACCCACCCTAATATATTATATATATTAGGATGCTTTTTTTTTTAACTATTTTTTTTTCGATCCCATGGTGAAGTTTTGTTGGTAATACCAAAAAAAAAAGTTCCCTGAAAGTTTGAGCTTTTAATATTATATTATTATTAAGTACTAGACCAAGGCCTGTAAAGAGTTACCATCAAAAATACACGTAAAACTTGATTTTTTTCTTTTTATATTTCTTTTAGATATTCTTGTGTTCATCTGCTGATGGTTTGTAAACAATCAGGCGAAGTATATCTCAGTGATCATACAATAAATCATTACAAAGTGAAATGCAATCCATAGTTTAGATCCCTCGAAAAACCTTTAGTTCGAATTGTTTCGAAGAAAGCCGCAGTTACTTTAAAGCTTAATCTATACAGCTCAATTTTACACAGGATTGTGGATTTATGGGTTTTATATAGAAAGTTTTGTTTTGAATCGTTGTTCTAGTTACAATAGCTTCGAGGCTTTATGATTTTCTACCAAACTTCTCAAGCAAATCAGTGCTTATTATTATGTTCACCTCATTCTTCGGATGGTAAACTTCTTCATTCTCCGGGCGAAAATCTTGTCGGATTTGAAAAGTCTATAGAGCCTTACAGTGCTCGACTGTGTATAACACACTTTTTCTGTCCAAACTTTTCTGGAACTGTCTAGAAACCAACGAAATAAAAAAAAACAGTGAAGAGTCCTAGTTTAAGCTAGGTAAAGAGGTCGATCGTAACAGGGATCCCCATTGTGGTACCTAAGAACTCCTATACGAGTATATTGGATCGTAAGACCCTTAAAAATCGACAAAGCGCTTTGAGCCTATCACAAATTTGTTGAGACGGCTTACTTCAGTTTCGGCTACGTCTTTTGGTTTGCCGCTGGTAAGACTACCGAGATATTTTAGCCTCAGTCGTGCATAGTCTCAGTCATGAAGGGTTCTAAGTATCTATAGAACACTTTAAGTACTCTTTCTGCTAATAAAATCATCTGTAGGTTAATAGTTAATGTGTAGCTGTAGTTACCTTATTACAATGATGGATGCTAACCAGTTGAAGCACAGGAGGATATTCTTTCACTATGATGTTGAGTTATCTTGCAAGCACGCATCACCGAATTGTGCTGAGTTTATCGATAAGTCGATTAACTTATGCGCTTCATAATTCGCTGCACAACATTTCCAGCTATTAAATAAGCAATCGCTACGAAAATGTATGAAATAAAATAATTGGCTTAGAATTTTATATGCGTATTTTATTGATTTATTTATATTTACTTGTATTCGCATTAAAGACATAATTTTCAGTTTTGTATATCGATTAAATTTTAATTACTTTAAGTAGTTATACATACGCATAAGTTTAATTAAGTATTATTTTACATAAAAGTCAAGTTAATTTCCTTAGCATAGCTATCAAATATGAAATAAACAAATATATATTAGGGTGGAAAAAAAATGAATGTTTTTTGTTTTTCGCTTCGTACTTTGAAAAATTGGTTGATAGATACCTTTAAGAAAGACTTTTCAAGTATAAGCTCTTACTGGCTCTTTTTTTCTCTTTCTTATATTTTCCTTTCATTTGGCATTAATGTTTGACGATGGATATCTCGTAAACGCTTAACTTAAACGAAACATTATTTGCACAAGACTATGAGCTTAGCAATTTAAAATTATTTGTTTTCATTGAGTTATATAATTCAAGAGAAAAAACAAATAGAAAAACAGTTTTAAACTGTTAGGTTTACGAAAAAACCATAAGAGACCATTTTGTAGAGCATTCAATTTCCTATCTATGAAACGAGAAATTTTTGCAAGTAGTTGGAAGCGAGTTATGAATTTTTCTATCTGATAATAAGAAAAAAATAGAAACCGGCGGAGGACCTTTCCGCTACAATTAAGAGCTCATACTTGGAGAGCCTCTCTTAGAGTTGTCTATCAACCAATTTTTCAGAGTACGAAACGAAAAAAAAACATTCGGTTTTTTGACGCACCCTATTACATACATACTTATAAGAAATTATAAACCAAATATGTAAAATAGCGGTAGAGAGAGCTGAGCAATTTATAAATTTTGTGGTTGCTGTGATTTTGCAAAAAAAAAATGTATTGTTTTATTTTGTATGCAAACTGTGGCAGCGCGAATTTTTCTTTGCATACAGTTTTTTCAGGGACAGTATTGTAAATTTAGGTTTCGTATGGTTTCTGTAGCAATATCATATTTGTTATGTCAAGTTCATAGTGCAGCGCCAATGAAATTGGGAAAAAGTTATTACTAAAGAAATATTTGCCACCGAGTTGTCGGTTCTTTGTGCACAGCTTTGCTTGGCTCGGCGCCTAACTATGCACTTAGCCTTATCTGAAACGATATTTAGTAAAACTTAAGTCATTAAAACATTGAAATTTATTTAATTGAATATTTTTTAAAAGGCTTTGCACTCGCTGCCCAAGTTTGTTGGAAGTAATATTTCTCTCAAAGTAACGTTTTTTAACTTCATGATTTGCCTTAATTTATTTACTAACTGCTAAGCCGCATTGCCGCCATTTATTTAAATTCTTTAATTAGTTTCATTTTGAAGTCAATAAAATTTTAATTTCTATCATATTTACGCATAATTAGCTATACAAATACACAATTTACATATTAAAAAAAGTAGTTTAAAAGTACGCACACATATTTACAATTTCCAAAAAAATTCTTAAAGTCTGCTAATTTACACTTAATTATATAATAAAAAATTAAATTTAAAAGTTTGCATTCAATTCGTAACTATTTTAAGGGAGACTAACTTAGTAAGCCTTCAGAAGACCGCTTTAAAACTCAGAGATTTTCTGTTATCACCATTTGGCGCCGGTAAGTAAACGTTAGGAAAATAATTAAACCGTTTTTTATTAACTAGTATATTGTTATATTTAAACTATTTATATATTAGTGGCCTTCAGAGTTCAGTGGTGCATGCCATGCCGCATCAGTATTTAACGGTAATTATCACCCATGCGACAACGTTTACTCTGCGCCGGATTCTCGCCCATGTCCAAGCTCTCATTGTCGCTGTCCATTGTTTCGCTGCAGTCACCATCGGGTTCGCCACCACCCATAATGTCCTGTTTCCGCTTGGCGGTGGCCATTTCCGCAGCATGTTTCTTGCGCCATTTGGTGCGCCGATTCTGGAACCAAACCTGCAAGCCAAGTGTAAAGAAACAGATTAGTAAAAGTTAAGTGAAAAGGTAGATGTGGTATGGTTGGCATTTAATTCTCACTTAATTACTACAATACATATGTGTAAGGGATCTCGGAAGTCGAATACTTAAACTTTTCTATGTGTGCAATTAATTAAAAGTGGGCAAGGCCTGCGATTACTGGCATTTATTGCGCGTCTAAGCGACAAACTCAACCTTTTCAAAGCGAAGTTTCAACTTTAATGCTTAAACTTGACGTTGACGTTGGCTTTTGCTGCTGAGTTTGGTGCCATACGCCGACACGAGCTCGTTGATGGCGACGCCAATGGTAACATGTGTAAAGTCATTAAGTCGTTGTTGGCATTAAGGCGGTCACAGACTTCGTTGCTTACCAAATAATGCCCAGAAATTCAACACAGCAGCTAGGGCACGCATGCAGCGCGGCACAAGTGGCACAGTTGGCCTTGCGACAGGCACAGTCGCCACCCCATAAGCAGCATCATCAACGCCGGTTAACCCTCAATTAAGAGAAAATAAAGCACCAAGCGACCGACATGCGCTGCAAGAAGTGGGTGAGTAGAGTGCTGAAGGCGGCACGTGGAATGTGGTAGTGTGGGTGGGTGGGTACGTTAGAGAGGGTTTAGCGCAAACCATGACTAACGAATTTGGTTGCGCTTTGGCGACGTGCGAAAGTGAGGCTACATTTTGCAAGCAAGCCACGGTACAAAAATCACTGACGTTCTTAATAGTGTGGCATGCAACATATGTTGCCAGCAATACAAACATACACATGAGCGTGTGCATGAACGGCTCAAGCAGGCTGAGCGCCAAAAATCGAGCTTGCCTTCGTATATCATGTCTCATTGTCTCAGGCGCTGTTTGTATGTGTGTCTGTGTTTGTGTGTGTCTCATGTTTTTGTATGGCAGCCACACAATGAGCTCAAAAACAGTAACTCAAGCGGCAGAGTGTGCAGCACATTTTCGAGCTCATTGAGCGCTTCGAATGACAGCGTTGACGACATAATTTGCTTAGCAAAGAACGAGCAATGGACCTAACCGTGTTGTTTTTTTTTCATCTTCATTCTATGCTCAATGCGGCACATTCATTCATGCTGTAACGTCGCTTTACTGCTGGCTACTGCTTTTGGCGGTCATTAACACACTTTTGCGCCAGACAATTCACTGCCTTTGCATCATTAGGCAGCCGCTACAGTTGCTGTGCCGCCAACTCATGCCACTTCTAGCTGAGATTCGACGGTTGCTTTTGCTGGCCCTTTGCTTGCTTTTTCGAGTTTATGGCCGACAGCTGTTGCCTGTTGTGATGTGGTTGCAATGCAACGGTTAATTACTTTTCAAGTTTTTAAAAATTCTGTGGCAAGCTTTGCATGGTAATTTAGTCATTTTTGTCGTTCAAGGGAAATGTATTGAAGAAATGTTGCCATGTAGGGCTTTTTAAAGCAACGCGTACTCCAAAAACTATTTTAAGAGATTCCGTGAATAGCTTGGCTCCAATGGATTGATCTTGATTCTTTTATAGAATATATACAATCTGCTCCATAAGCTTAAAAAAATAAATTAACGTCATTCTATATGTCAGACTACCTGTCTGGCACACACAGTTGGAAACAGCTGCAGAAAATCACATACAACAATGTAAAGATGTAGCCAACAACAACAAAAACATATCTTCACATCTTTTTGCAACAGAAATTACACTTACAGTAATACCTAGAGACAAACCGTCGAGAGCTAAGTTATGGAATTTGAACAAAAGTGTGATTGAAGTTGGAAAACACAACAACAAATCAGTTACAAAAATAGTAGACACATCGAATAAGCAGCATAATATTCGAGCCAAGCTTTGAGTTGCGGGCTTCTCCGTCAATAAGCAAACATATAAATATTATACATATATTTTTATAAATGTAACAACAAATATTATGCGAAAATAGTGGAAATAGCTGTGTTTTGACACCACTGTGGTATGTCTGTTAGCATTTTTTGCTTGCTCAGAGATTTTTCGGTCACAGCTGTTGCCAGAAAATAATGACCATGAAAAGCATCCTTAATGATGCCATCTAATGGTGCGTTGCCTGCGTGTACTGTTGTTGCTGCCACCGCTGTCTTGCTCCAACGCGCTGCCAGCTGTTGCAACACAATGCGGGTGTGTGGGTGTTGTAACGGACTGTTTGAGGTCTCTTATAAAATATTTTCACTCTTCGTAAAATCTTCGCAACGTATAGGATTTATATGTACATATGTATGTATGTATGTACGTATGTATGCATGTATGTATTTATGTGCGTATGTATGTATGTAACATGTTGCTTTGTTGCTTACCCACACGCTTTTGGCATGTTTTGGCACCCATGTACATATGTATGTGCGAGTGTATAATTGTTAGTCAATGCCAACGCCTTTCTCACTTCATTTTGTTGTTGTCATAAGGCAAAATTAATTACATTTTTATTTGCACATACTGTCACTTATAATATAATAATTACCCAAATGCGCAAATGAAGTTGTAAATTATGCAATGAATGTGTTGCAATGGCTAATTACATGCAGGTTCTATGGATTTTATATGACGTTCAAAGAATTTCGTCTATTCGAAGATGTTTGAAGGTTCAAAATAGACGAAGAAAAAAATTCCTTCGTTTCAAAAATTAAAGTGGAGGATTTTCTTTATTGGGAAACTCTAGAGTGGACCGGTTAGTAAAGGCAGAAATACATCTAAACATCCTTAAGCACATAGAACTTACTCACTTGGTCAAAAAATTTAGAAAACCTTCAAAATAATGTTGAACTCGATGACAGAGTTAACCCGAATATCACTCGTGTAGTGTCTCGCTAAAATATGTATAAGATGCTCTATCATATATCTCATGTTTAATACTGCTACAAACGACTTATTGACACATGCTTAATGGAAGCTGTATAAATATAGACGGAAACCGCTTAAAAGCTCAAGTTTTACTAAATAGATCTAAACTGTAACACTCTGTGCACTCACGGTCAAAAATATATTTTTCCATATTATTGGAAGTTTTTGATGACCTTAAGGGTGTATTCTAGTCTAGAGACATAAATTTTAGGTAATTTTTCAAGTGTCTTAAAAAAAAATCAATCAATATTTTTACCATGGATCTTTTTATCAGTCATTTATGTTACAAGAGTACAGAAAAAAATTAAAAAAAAAATTTTTTTATTAAAAAAACTGACAGTTGATGAAGTCGGGCGTCTCAAAAATTGGCGCATGAGCACAGCCATAATTTCAACCCTCCTAGTCATCTGAATTGAAAAAAAAGATCATAAATCTGCAAGATGTCGCAATTGTATGAACTAGCGTTAAGTAAAAAAAAATTTTTTTGACAAAATGACCACTTTTTTTACCATTTTCTTTATTTTCTGGTATTTTATCTATATAAAATAGTAAAAATTGAAATTTGGGCACGAAGCTAGTTCATACTCGAGAGAGGTCTATAAAGAAGATTCTCTGAAAATTTCAAATAAATCGATCCAGTAGAACTCTAGCAATCCAAACAATCGTGGGTAATGTATTGAAAAAGTGTGTTCTGAGAAAAACGCATTTAAAGTTTCGCGTATAGGCTTTTAGTCGATTAGATCCAGGCGAAACAGTTTGGAGGCCGGATCAGTAAAATGTCTATATCTGCGAAAATAATTTATATTTTTTTCAATTTTTTTTGAAATTCTACACTAGAATACAACCTCAGTCCAATGATGTATTTTGAACCTATTTATTATTTCACTATGTCACTAGATTCGATTATGCACTATCATATTATTTTATATGATTTATTTGTCATCGATAAGAAGCTCCTCAATTTTTTTTTGCACTAAACTCTCAAAGTATGAGTAAGCAACAATTTAGAGAAAAAGCGAGTTGATCAGAGCTAACTTTAGCTGAAACCTCCGAAAAATAAACTCCTTGCTCCGTGACAAGCTGGTCCAGATCATTATGAGTAACCAGCAGTTGGTTTATAGAAAAACTAAACAATATAAGATATAAGATAATATATCAAATAGACGAAGACACAGAAAATGAAACAGAAATATATAGATACTTATATATGCAGATATAAGTATATACAATGCATATGTATATATACTGGTATATATTTATATATGTATGATGTGTGCTAAACAAAATTTACATACACATAAACATTATATATACAAGTATTTGTAAATATTTGTGCACTCAATTGCGTAAGCGACGCACCGGTTCAAGGCATTTTATGACAGCAACATGTCAAAGTCAATCAAACATTGTCGCCGGCTGCAATCAATTCGCTGCGCTGCCATTTGAGACACATCAAGCAACCGAATTTCGATAGATTTATGAGCAATGCACAAAAAATCGAACAAAGCGACCAAGGACCACATGTCTAGCTGGCACTCAATACTATATATGTATGGCTTGGTGGATACCTGGAATAACCGAAATGGCTAACAATAGAAGGCCAGCAGAGCAACAAACAAAAAAAAAAATTAAATAAAATAAATGGGTGCAATAATACCAAAAAGTCAAGTATTCAAATTTTTATGGCTTTTCGGCGGCGTTGACGAGTTGTTGTGGCTGTGATGGTGTTAGTGGTGGTAACGGCCGCCATGCTATGCTAAGAGGCGTAAGCAATAAAATCAAAATATTGTTGGTTTTCGTGTTTGTGCCATTCAAAGTGTATGCAGAGCGCATGCGTCGCAAAGCAGCAAGCGCTCAAAGCTGAGAAATCAGTCAACACAAACGAAATGGCTGACGAAATGTCGCCAGGTGGTACGAGTACCAGGCAGAGATGCCAATAAAACCCTGCTGTTTTTGTTGTTTTCTCTTTTTGTTGGTGTAGTGTTGGTGGTGTTACCTTTGACATATGTGTATGGATGTGTGTAGATAAAAGGATATCACATGTGCGGCCACACAAATGAACAAACTGATATGCAAATTCGCTTGAAAGCGACACGCTAACAAAGATGCTTTGCAT